GAAGTTAGGAATCAGAGGGGAAGAAGGAATGTGATGATTCCTGATTCAGATAAACTAAAGACTAAAAAAAGGAAGAAAGAAAGTTGTCCCACATTGATTAATTGCTCTATGAGTAAGCTCCTTATAATTGTGTGTCCACCACATTAGTTTTCAGGAAACTGGATCCTAAACCTAGATAATGTTGGCCTATAGTGAGAAATAAAAAAAAACACTCTCTAACGTGTTTAAATTTTGGGAAATAAAATATGACTTGTCTTATGTTAAGTGATTAGATCTAGTGGCTCAAATTAACCGAAATGAGAGTAAATGCACGGAGCTTATATGCAGAGGCTCAGGATTCTTCAATATTCTAACTCATTGTTTTATTTTTAGGAGCCTTTATTTAGTATCCACGTATTTATCCGCATTTCACTCCATCTTAGTCGTTGTAATAATCAAACGACTTATAACATGATACCTCAACTACCATAAAATTAGTTTAGTTCTAATAGTCCAATTTTACCCTTCTAATAAAATTAAGAAAAAAAACAAGAAACCAAACCCGGTCCTGGCGGAATAAGGGAAGATCTTTAGGACCTCGGGAAGGTTTTGTGTAGGTTCCAAGAGGTTGGGATGGGTTTGTGTAGGTTCCTCAACCTCACATGGAGATGTTGTTTTTGGTACTGTTGCAAATGTAGCTGCAATTGCTAAGTCGTTTTGGTGGGTGATGTGGAGTTTTGATATTTTCATGAATTGGTTAATTAAATGGATCCTCAACAAACTTTTCTTGTCAAATTTCTTCCTAGATTTTGATTGCTTTATGAATTGGGTGCTGATTTGGTTATTACGTGTTTCTTGTCAAATAAATAACCATATTCAAGTATGTGTATTTTTTGGGGCCAAAGTTAAGGTGGGAGATTTCTCACACGCACAAACACTACAAATGTGTCATGGGTGTTTGAACATGACACCACTAATTTGCAAGTTAAGGTAATTTTCTACCGAGGTAGATCCCGTTGGCATATTGAAGCATAATTAATTTATAACAAACTACCAAATTAATAAAAACATAAATATACGGATTAAATAATATAGTTATTTTTGTTGTTAGAATAATATGATAATTTTGAAACACTAAAAATTCCCATAACCGATGATTCTTGGTGATATTCTAGAATATTTTATTTGAATAATAAGCCACCAAATGAATAAAAGCATAAATTTAAGATTAAATAATAAAGATAATTTTGAACCATTAAAATTCCATCATGCCCAAAGAATATCTTATCCCAATCTCAGTGTAAAGATATTCCCAACATAAATCGAAATGAAAACAAGAAAAACAAAAGCAAAAAGGAAGAAGAAGTCCTTCTATTATTATTGATAGTCAGAATCAGCCAATCACTGTCAACGTCACATTTCCGATCGTCGTTTTGGTGTACAGCCTGAGCCTGTGCTTCGCCTAACTTTCACGGAGTTGAATTTCCGTTCCATCTACTTTGCGTGAAGAGTATTTCAAAACCTCACCAGAGAAGAGAAGCCAAACACAAATCAACCAAAAGCCATGGAAGAAGACACAATAGTCCTCTACGCAGCTCCAGGAATGGGGCACATAATCTCCATGGTTGAGCTAGGCAAGCTCATTCTCAATCGCTACACCGAAAAATTCTCCATCACTATTCTCTACACATGCGGCAGCGTTGTGGATACTCCAAGCATCCCCGCCTACATCCACCGCATCTCCCTAGCCCATCCTTCCATCTCCTTCCGCCAATTCCCTCGCGTTCAAAATGAAAATCCATTATTAATTGGCCGCAGCAGCGCTGCCATAATGTTCGATTTCATCCGCCGGAATGATCCTCATATCCGCCATGCCCTCCAAGAGATCTCCAAATCTTCAGCCATTCGCGCTTTTATCATCGACATCTTCTGCTCCTCTGCGCTGCCAATGGCGAAGGAACTCGGGATTCCCACCTCACACCTTTACCACATGCCCACCTACTACTTTTACACCTCTGGCGCTGCAGCTCTTGCGGCTTTTCTGTATTTCCCGAAAATCATGGAACAAACCACCAAGAGCTTCAAGGATCTAACCGACACTGTTTTCGAGTTTCCCGGGTTGAAGTCTCCTCTCAAGGCCTCCCACATGCCCGAGCCAATGCTTGACCGAGACGACCCTGCATATTGGGACATGCTCTACTTTTGCTCACACCTTCCCAAATCTAATGGGATCATAGCCAACACGTTCGAAGAGCTGGAGCCTCCTGCAGTCCTCAAAGCTATTGCTGGAGGTCTTTGTGTTCCTGATGCTCCCACTCCTCCAGTCTTCTACATTGGGCCATTGATTGCTGAAGAAAAACAATCTAGTGATGCCGTTGAGGCGGAAGTTTGTTTGTCATGGCTTGATAAACAGCCAAGTCGAAGTGTGGTGTATCTCTGTTTTGGAAGCTGGGGATCATTCTCAGGGGCTCAATTGAAGGAGATGGCAGATGGGTTGGAGAAGAGTGGGCAGAGGTTTTTGTGGGTGGTGAGGAAGCCTCCCCTTGATGAGAAAACCAAGCAGGTCCATGGAGTTCATGACTTTGATTTGGAGGGTTTGTTGCCAGAAGGGTTCTTGGAGAGGACCAAAGATAGGGGCTTGGTGGTGAAGTCATGGGCTCCGCAGGTGGCGGTGTTGAAGAAGGAATCGGTTGGCGGGTTTGTGACGCATTGTGGCTGGAACTCGGTGCTTGAAGCTGTGATCGCCGGCGTGTCGATGGTGGCGTGGCCGCTCTATGCAGAGCAGCACATGAATAGGAGTGTTTTGGTGAAGGAAATGGAGATGGCGATTGCTGTGGAGCAGAGAGAGGAAGATGGGTTTGTATTTGGGGATGAATTGGAGAGAAGGGTTAGGGAGCTGATGGAATCAGAAAAAGGGAGAGAGCTTAGAGAAAGGAGCAGGAAAATGGGAGAGATGGCTTTGGCTGCATGGTGTGAGTCTGGTTCGTCCACTAGAAACTTGGTCAACTTTGTTAATAGCATTATATAAGTTCCGGATTGCATAAGCAAATTACCAAGGCTGCACCTTCTTGTGGTTAACAAATTTTCATTGTTATATAATCATAATCTGAACCGTCTTTTCTGGTATGTAAAATATCAATGAAATTGGAGATTGTTGAGTAAGATTTTCATTATGAACTACGCATTTTGTTTTTTTACCGATATCAACTAAGCATTTTAATTGTTAACCATGTGAGTATTGTTGGAGTTATCAAATGCATCATTTGTTATGCGTGCTTGTTCCTATAGTAATTTTTTTTAAAAACACCTTAATGTGATTTGAACATGTTATGCACCTCACAAGACACTATTTTGCAAGAAAATTGATAATTTGTAACATGCTTTGCAAGGAGCTCTCGATCCCATCCAATATTTGGTTGTGCCAAAAAAATGTATGAAAATTATACTAGATAAGTAGTCAACATAAGGGATCACAAGCCTTTATATTTAGCATTGGTATGCATTATTTACATAAATACATTTAGAACATACCTTTTTTCTCATCATTGTAAATGCAGTAGGCTGGCTTGGCTTATGTGCTCGTCCCTTTCGGGATCAAAGTTAGGAATCAGAGGGGATGAAGGAATGAGATGATTCCTGATTCTGATAAACTAAAAAAAGGAAGAAAGAAGTTGTCACACATTGATTAATTGCTCTCCGAGTAAGCTCTTTATAATTGTGCGTCTACCACATTAGTTTTCAAGAAACTGGATCCTAAATGCGGATAATGTTAGCCTAGAGTGAGAAAAGTGGTAGATATACCAGTTAAATCTGGAAAATTGAGATGGGTGACCACGAACATTGAGCGCACCAAAGTCCCCATTGCTGGAAGCAACTATTCGAATAAGAGGAATGCTAGCAACCTTCTCTTTAACCTTTTCTTTTGGACATTCTCCATTCTCTTCATGACACGTGTCACTTTCTCTACACTTAAAACAATGTCATTAATACATTAAACAATGTATGTTTTGTTTTCCTAATTTACCCTTGTTAAATGCATTGGACAAACTAACTTTTATTTTCACCTTGTTAAAAAATTAAAAGAGAATTTTAAAATCTTCCACAAAATTAACGTCAGTTTTTTTTTTAATTAATAAAAAAAATTATGTTTACTACTTTTTTTTGGTGAGGGAAGGGAGAATGGATTTTGGGGTATGGATTGAAGGAGGAGAGTGAGAAGTACAGTGCACGGTGGGTTGGTTTTATTTAAAAATATTTATATTTATTTTTTTTTAAATTCCATAATTTTGAACGGTTTTATTGCAATTGGGGAGGGAAGGGTTTTTTTTTTTTTTTTTCTGTTTCTTTTTATCTTTTAACTTTTTTAATAAATTAGAATGTTCATTAATTTTTAAAAATATTTATATTTATTTTTTTTTAAATTCCATAATTTTGAACGGTTTTATTGCAATACTTATTTTTGAAAACAAAAAAAGTTTTTTTAGGGAAGTACACTTCGTTTTTATTTTCAAATATTTATTTAATTGAACTTTTAATGTTTATTTTTTAAATTTAATTGTTTAAGTTAAGTTGTAAATTGAAGGAAATATAAAGTTAATACATTTAATAAGGGTAAATTTGGGGACAAAAGATATATTGTATAATGCATTAATGTCATTGTTTTAAGTGTAAAGAAAATGACACATGTGATGAGGAGGAGAGAGAAGGTCCGAAAGAGAAGGTTAGAGAGAAGGTTGCTAGCATTCCCCATTCGAATAATCTCTCTATGGGCGCTAATGAGTATTGCTAGACATTTATATTTCCAAGTCCTTTTTTCTTTTATATATATTTTTTAATACAAACGATAGTCTATTTTAATCTCATCTAAATTACAGAAATGAGGATTCTAACTTGACTAAGCTCATGTCTACGCCTTTGTTTTTTTAAGTATAAAAAGTGTAAGGATATGTGAGTGGTTGATATCTTGATTCTTTATATTTATTTACAAGGAATATGAGAAGTCATTAATCGGGAAACATAAAAATTTGGGAATAAGGAATTGAAATTGAAATCGAAATAGGAAAACTCTCTCAAGTGCTTTTCCTGGATATACTTGAATTTTAACAAAAATTCCGGCGTTCTCCTAACCAAAACACTTCTCACAAAAGAACTACTGAGAAATTGAGAATTGACCCCAAAAAAATAGAGCTTAACGGGTACAATTCCCACTCGCACAGTTCAACACTTCCAGTTGGACAATTCCCACCCAAGACCAATCGTAGAGGCTTTGCTGATTTGCTTCCAAATTGTCAAAAGGTATTTCTTTTTTCTTTTTTGTTCTAAATTTCCACAAATAATTTAGAAATTTTACTCTGAACATAGCGGTATGAATCGAAGACAATTTTTTGTTGTTGCTGTTTTAACCGAATCTTAACTGCTGTTCAAACATAATGGTTTGAAATAAAATAAATGTGAGAGAGGGAGATTCAGTTAGTGGGCTTGCTTGACAAGCTTTCAATGGAGTTATGGGGTTACCAATTTCATGGTCTGAGAGAGAGAACAAGCGGAAAAGATTAATTTTGTGCTCGAAGGGGAGGAGAAAGGGTGAGTCAAAGAGAAAAGATCAATTTTTTATAAGAATTTCCACTTACCAAATATGATCAGATCCGCATTTCGATTTGAATATTTTGTTCTGCTGTTTGAACATAAATTTTATTTTCATTTCGCTTTCAGTTAACAATGCTGGTCAGGATTCTATCAAAATTTGGATTATAATTAGATTTGATCGTACTCGCATTTTACCAATTCAAAAAACGTCAATCCTGGATAAAACCTGCAAGTTATATGTAGGCACTTGCTGTGGTATTGGTGTTGGCTGTTGGTTTTTTTGCACAAGTTATATTGTTGGCTGTTTTGCACAAGTTATATCGTTGGCTGTAAGTTATAGTGTTGGCTACTTTCCTCATTTTTGTTCTAGTTTGTATGCTAATTGTGTTATTTAGCACCTCTAATACTTTACTGCTCTGTGCAGGCTAATAACTGCTATTGTCCTTCGTTTTAGTAAAGGGAGCTGATTACTAGTTATCTCACAGTGAAGAGTTCTATAGCTCACCTGATAGACGCATGCAGGAGTCCAGATTCTTGAGAAAAGAAAAAGGTAATGTTTAGCTTGGTGGTGTAGCCCACCCCAAAGAACAATGGCCTTTCCTAGAACCCAAAAGTCCAAACCAGGACCCGGTTCCCCAATCATCTTCCTTGTCATCTGCATAGCTGCCATTGCACTCCTCTTTCTCGTTTCCTCTCTCATTTCCACTAGTGAGTTCTCTTTATCCTCTCTGAAAACCCTCGAAAGCAGACTCAAATTAAAGAACATAAACCTGAACCACCAAACTGGCCGCGAGAAGTACCTCTACTGGGGTGACAGAATTGATTGCCCTGGAAAGCACTGCGAGTCCTGCGCGGGTCTGGGCCACCAGGAGTCCAGCCTCAGGTGTGCTCTTGAAGAGGCTATGTTCCTTCAGAGGTATGTTCTTTGAGTTTTTTTCTTCTTCTGATTTCTGTTTTCGGAGTTTATGTCGTGATTGGTTGCCGAGCAAATGTGGACAACAGAGAATTGTGGAAGAATTCAGATTTGATATCATAGGGACCAGTTAAATGGGTTTTGAAATGACCCAACTGTCATATAACTTCTAGGTTTCCTTCATAAACTGGAAAGTTTGTCACGTTATAGATCTGCTCACCCACGATGAACTTAGTGTGATTGCAAGCTATGCCTTTGTGGTTTGATAGATTTAGTTGCCTTGTTTTCTATATCAGGGATTTCTGGATTTCTTGTTATGAACTGCAATGGAGTAAATTTTATATAATCTTGTTTAGTAATTTACTGCTGCTGTTTGCAGAACTTTTGTAATGCCTTCAAGAATGTGTATTAACCCAGTACACAATAATAATGAGATCCTTCATCACTCACATAATGCAATTTCAGAAGAAAGGTAAGTTTGTACTTCTTAATTTGGTTTCAAGAGAATGCTTTTTGGCTGTGGGGTAGTTTTACTGCTACGTGTTAGCAAAACTATGCCAACTTCCCTACTTTATATCCAATTTGTATATACATTTTTGTTGATCAGAATGTGCATTTTATACAAAATGGACTTCCTTTCATTTGTTAGGTGGACAGAAAACTCCTGTTCCATGGACTCGTTGTATGATATAGACCTCATATCAGGCACTGTACCAGTAATTTTGGACAATTCAAAAGTGTGGTATCGAGTGGTGGCAACAACTATGAAGTTGGGAGGTAGAGGAGCTGCCCATGTGGAAGGAGGTACTCGTGTTGATCTCAGGGAGAACAGTAGTTTTTCAAATCTTTTACTCATAAACAGAACTGCAAGCCCTCTTGCATGGTAAATTTCTATTTCATTTTCTTTTGTTGTTAAAAGCTTTAAGATTGGCTTCTTTGGGATGGTAAAACCTACTTGTTTGTTTCAAGGTGTGGTTTCACTTGACTTGGAGATAATAGTTGTGCATGTATTTTTGAAAGAAATTAAGTTAAGTGAGATATTTGTTTACAGTAACTTTTTTCAGAGAGATTCTAGGAATTTCTTGAGCTACCTATAACCTCTTGTTACCAATGTTTTCAAAGGTGAGGCAACATGAATTCTTTAACTAAAGAAAACTATTTAATATAAAATAATTAGAAAGAGAGTGCCAAAGAGAATAGAGAATTAGAGAGAGCGTGAAGTTTGGAGCTGGGACTTTGGGAGTCTGATTTGTGTCTTTGGTAGGAGAATTATGGTTTAGAAAATTTGATTTGGGGCTGGGTTGTTGGGAAGAAGAAACTGTTGGGGATCTAAAAGGAATAAATAAAAATGGAACAATTTTGCTAAAAACCAACCCGCAGAGTTTTGTTCTATAAACTCAGCCTTAAATGAAACAGTTCATTTCATAAAGGAACCCAGACAACTTAAGAACATGGCGTTGATTAGCCTTAAAACATTTCCAGAGGAGAGGGGAAAAAAAAGTAATTTGGGTTTTCGGCTTCTTTGCATGGGTTCTGCCTCAGCCCCATTAGCACTGCTGCAGTTGCAGAGTGTTTACCTTACAGCATCTCACCGATAGCTAGCATCGATGTGCACCTCAGAATGCCTTCCAAAACACTGCTCGTTACTTGATACCTCTAATTTTATTAATCATCTGAGTCTGTTGGCTGAAAAACAACTTAATTTCAAAGCCAAGAGAGGATTTGGATTGTAGGAAATTGAATAAGAGTTTCACTTGGTTGAAAGTTTTGAAAGTCTCCATTCAAGTTTGTTTAAATTTGCGCTTGGTGTAATTCTTTTAGTTAAGAAATAAACCATGATATGCCTCTCTTGGTTAAGTTGCATGAGTATTAGAATATTGATTTTGGTTGTTTGAGGAATTCATAATGGCAGCTATATAGGTTTATGGAGTGCAAGGATCGAAAAAATCGTAGTGCTATAATTTTGCCATATACCTTTCTTCCCTCGATGGCTGCAAAGAAGTTGAGGAATGCAGCTGACAAGGTATGCATTATAGTGAATCCTGCTAATGTCATGGATGTTTACTTAATTGGTATGGGTATTGAAATTTTTCCAATTACTGACTTCCCTTATTTTTACACACATGGGTATTGGAATGATTCCGATTCTTGATTTCCATTGTGTTTACTATCACATAATGTACCAAAAGTTATGTGGGTTCCATTTTAAAATTTCTAATCCAATACCTCTGAAAATCCAGGAATTAAATTGATTAGGGGGTAATAGTTGATCCCATGTCCATTCCTTTTCTCCTCTATGCTAACTTCCCCCATTCCAAGTAACCAAACATGCCATAAGTTTTAATTCCATACTTTAAGTTGTGTAAAGCTTGTTTGCTTATTGTGCGCATGAGTCTAAGGTATATTCATGTCATATATAAACATATTCAAGTAAGTTAGAGCATGTCAGTCACTATGATAACTAAAACTGGAGCTGTTGTTGAAAATGAGTCCAAGGTATATTCATGTAATAGCCCCCTCTGTTTTCTCTTGAATTATTTCCTGTACATATCTGCTATTACAGACTTTGACCAAATAATTTTCACAGATTAAGGCGCTCCTTGGAGATTATGATGCCATTCATGTACGTCGTGGTGATATAATTAAGACCAGGAAGGACAGGTTTGGCGTTAACAGGACCCTGCATCCTCATGTGGACAGGGATACACACCCAGAGTTTATTCTTCGCAGAATTGAGAAATGGGTCCCATCTGGACGAACTCTTTTTATTGCTTCAAATGAGAGGACACCAGGATTTTTTTCACCTCTCTCAGTCAGGTAAGTTCTCAGGCGTGTTCTGTTCTCTGCACCATCTGCATTGAAAGTGAAAGCCTGTGTGTTCATTTTGTCATGCTAACATGATATAGGATAGCTTCCACGTTGTGGCTATGAATTCTAAATTCAGGTTGACCATTGGCAAAAAATGTTCTGGATTTAGGTTCTCCAAGTAAAACTAATTTGGCAGGAACTTTTGGATTAGTTAATACTGAAGTAGTCGGACTAAAAATCATTTTAATAAGCTTTTGAATTCTTTGATACTGGAGTTCTGAACATTAATGATAGAATCAATAATGTGTACCGTCTTCCTGTGCACTATGATTGATTGCTGAGCTGGTCTAATATTTTGTCTGTCATTATGCTTAAGATTTTAATTTAAGTGAACTTTGAGTTGTATACTTTTGCGCTGTCAAACACACCTCCTTTTACTATTTCTTAACTAGGAGCATCCAATTCAACACTGATTCAAGTTTTACATCATACCCCAATGAATACGGCTTTTATTTTAGTTTGAACTACTTCATGGATTGTGCTGTCATTATAATTTTGCCAACCTCAAGAGGTTACATTTGTAAAACAAGGTCCCCGCTGACCTTGATCCTTATGTCTGACCCATCTGCGCAGATATAAGTTGGCCTATTCATCAAACTATAGCCACATATTGGAGCCCTTGATTGAGAATAACTACCAGTTGTTCATGATCGAAAGGATTATCATGATGGGTGCTAAAACATTCATCAACACATTCAAAGAAGGTGACACAGGTCTCAGTCTTACCGATGACCCAAAGAAGAACACCAAGTTATGGCAAATACCAGTCTATAGCTTCGATGAAGAGGGAAGCTAACATTAGCTGCCATTTTAGCTCCGCAGAAAGGTTCCGAAAGTTTTTTAACCCTCGTACCGATGCTCTGAATACACATCATACAAGCAGAGCCTCACCTTGCATGCTATGAAAGGTTCCCAGTGAAAATCAATACGGCAGGGAATTGCAGGCCTTTCAGTGTTGTGAATTGTGACATAGATTTTTTTTTTTTCCCAAATATTTATTTGAACGAAGATGTTTAAATTTCTTTTTCTCTTATTGTTATATACTTTAGCCTTCGAGGGGGAGAGATAATATACGTACATTTTTCATATGGTATGGTGTGTCACTCAAATTATTTGAATTATTTATAAAAGATAAATTGTTTAAATAGTTATTGAAATACCTATTTTTTAATTGAAATAGTTATTGAAGTACCTTTTTTTATATATATAAAGAAAATCAATATTGACAAAAAATGAAACGTAAAAAGAGAAGAAACTTGCCCCACATCGATCCAACTGTGCTCTGAGTAGTCTCCTTGTAATTGTGCGCCTACAAAACGAGTTTGTCCTCGTGAGGACTTTATGATATTATTTTTAAAATATTTTTAAAGAATTCTTTAATTTTTTTTTTCTTCACACATCAGCATTATAATGGGTGACCCACTTGCCAATGGAAAGGCTATAATAAGGGAGTTAGTGAGAGAGGTTCAATCCCACCTTCCAACAAGAGAGAATCTGGAATGAATGGTTGGATTGAACTCCTCATTCACCCCCTCAACAGAATCCCCCTCATTAGAGTAACTCCACTCATTTGCCATTTGTCATGACAAGGGGGGGCTAGGGTAGCCACTATTCACGTGAATAGTAATTGCCCTTGCAAAAAGCCATTTCCGTTTTCACCCATTGCCATGGCAAATGACAATTACTATTCATTTTTTTGTTTTTTTACAAATTTTTTTACCTAAACAATTAATTTGGATAATATTTTCGGATTAGATTTTTGAGTTCCTACATGTCAATCTTTATTATAAAATTCATATCTCATAATCGGAAAAAAATTTCGTATAAGATTTCGAAAAAATAAAACTTGAAAGTGAAGAAAATATTAAATAGAAAGGGAATAATAGTTGAAAGAGATGAAAATGTATGAGGATTTGGTGTTAAAAGTAAAGAGTATTGGTTAGTATTTATAAAAGAAAAAAAAATCATTAATTTTGGGGTTTTTTTTTAAAAAAAAATTCTAATTTTTTTCATTATTGTATTGCACAAAAATTCGCTGCCGTTGGATTGGAGGAAAAAATCCGATCTGAGAGCTCAGACGACGCCGCGTGGCTGCTGGCTATGGGCGGCACTGTAGCATGCTGACATCATCCAAAACTCGGGCTCCAAGTCGGGCTAGTCTCCCCCGAGGGCCAACCCAATCTGTTGGGGTCCACCTATTGCCCGGGCAAGCCTCTGTTGCTGGAATCACTTTTTTGGCCCAAACCCCCCACCCCCAGCCCGCGGCTCTGTCATGCAGATGGAGTTGCTCTTATAGAAGCTCTCCCAAAACTGAAGGGAGTAAAATGTTTTTCATAAAAACCAATAAGCCCAACCCGAGACCTTTAGGCTTCCAAGAATCTTTGCCTCTACAAAATTGGCTGGTAAGAAAAAGGCACCAAGGCTCATGTACTCTTACCACCCTAACCAATGTACTCGTCAATCCAACATTGGCACTTAGTTTGCCCTCTTCTTCGAAGTTTAAATAGATGTGTAATAAAACTAGACTCGTATACGAATGGTGTAAGGCCCAAAAGCTCATAAACCACCTCAACATATGTCATTTTTCCAATGTGAGATAGCGGTTAGATGCATTCTTAATTCCTTTTTATATTTTTTTTGTGTTCATTCCCAAAACTCTCTGCTGTGTTTCATATTATCGAGGAAGCTTCTCCGCAAAACTCAAGTTGAAAGTTCTCCAGCAATAATTACACAAGGGAAGATATCCTATTATTATTTATTTATTTATCTACTCTCTTTTTTGTTTTTCAATTACACCCATCAGAACAGACAAGGAAATGCCACATTTACAAGTTATTCATTCATCCTGTTCTTGAGCCCTATCTCAAAGCAACTGACAAATCCAACAAAGATTACAATACCACTGGAATTTCATGATGCAGTTCGCAGAAATCATCATCAAGCTCCAAAATTATATGTTTCACACAATAACCTAAAGACAGTGCAGCTCAAACTAAAGCATTGGTGAACCTTAAATGCAAAAATGCTCACCCTTCTGACGATTGTGTAGATCATGAACATGTAATCAAACATAATGAAACCCTTGGGATGGATGAAACCAATAGATTACGATACAAAATCTGCAAACATAGAACATTTTATTTAATGTAATTCAAATTAACCTCACTTACCAAAGCTTTTCACGGATAGCATATTTCGAAAATGTACAATTAATTGCAAAGAGTTCTCGAATCAGATCAAATCGAAATCACGATAATAAAGAGGTTAGGAACTACAGAAATTAGATAAACTCTCAAACTATAATCCACGATTAAGTGCAATTGAGATTGAATAATGAACAGGCTAACTCAAATACCTATTAATTTCTGTTATAAGGTATGGTGTAGGATTTGATCCGATAATTGACACGGATGCCCTCTAAGATTTTAAGCTTGTGTTAAGCTTCTAGACAAAGGTGCAATTCATGCATACATGTTCAACAGAAGGCACAACAACACAAGAAAATTGAGAAAATTTCAGTATAACTTTTCATTGAAAAAAGATAATGGAATTCTTTCATTTATTATTTGTAAAATTTTGTTAGTTTCCACACTCCCCCAAAAAACAATGCAATTAGGAAGTAGAAAACAATAGCTTATTTTCTAACACACTCTCTCCCTCATGTGTCAGCCTCTCGTCATTACCCAATAGAGATCCCACATTCCACATTAGAGGTTGCAAATGCAAGGATTTGAGGATAGGATTTTTTGCTATGATTTCCTAAGCTCTGACATTTACTACATATAAACCTGGTGCATAAGGAAACCAGCAAATCATTTTATATTTCTATTCAAAGCAATCATCAAGCATACGCAAGTCGATAATCTCTCACCTGAAATCCTCCTCTATTGCCAAGACAACATACACATCGAAACTCAATATCACTATGCAAGAAGGTAACTGAAATTAATGACACCTCTGAAAATTCCACAAATTTTTTTATTAATTATATAGCACCTTGCTATGGAAACAGTAAACTTTATGAATAGAAATTTTCAAATCCACATCAGTGCATCGTCACAAATTAATAATTGGGGAAGCTGATTGAAAGCATGCTAAAAATAAAAAATAATAATCTTGCCATACTAGTTTAAAACTACAACAATACTTTGTTTCATTTGAAGTGGAAACCACAATCTTACTGATTGAACTTTTCCAAGTGGAAGCAGCTAAGTGCAAAATCATGGACTCTAGGTATGGGCACTATTACATCTAAATATTGCAGAAGAATGCAACACACAATACAGTATATCTCGAAATTACAGGGTATTCTCTTAGGAACCATTATCAACATACCAGCACCATGATGAACCTTGGCTGAAATTAATAAATCTAATAATTACACTAAAAACTAAACGGTACTAGGGAATTGGGAGGGGGAGAACGCATTTTGGATACCTTCTGGTTATTCTTTAGCTATGCATTTGCATCTGCGCTGATGCTCTGAAAGTTCCTGCGATGTTCCAAATTTTTCAGTACGTACATAAATTTCCTTGTAATGCACCACAGACAGGCATCATATCCGATTCAAATAAGATTATAACTCCTCCTTTCTCAGTTATACTTCTTAGCGCCTACTACTTTTTCAAAAGGGGGAGCAAGCAAAGAAAAACTTTTGTAAATTGAACTACGAAAATGGATATCATAGTTTTACTTTCAAATTTTCCCATGAGTCTCCTCAGGAAGCATACATATTGAGAAAGTTTCTTGAACAAGGTCAATGTATATAATACCTGAATCTGCTTCTGAAGAAACTTCACATACTCCACTGCCTCGTCTAACATATCAGCAGTATTAGTTTGCTGCAAGGAAAATCAATACAAGCACCATAACAAACAAAGTAAGTTATTGTCTGCTTAATTTTGCAAATGCATGAAAATTTTAGACAAATTCTTTTACTTATAACTTTTGAAGTTGTTCTAGAAATCTTCTAGTTTCTGTTCTTTGTGCAAAAGATCAAGATTACAAGTTCTAGGATTAAAAACTGGTAAAAACAGACTTTTTTATTCCTATCAGGATTTCAAGTTAGAATTTTCTTTAATATGAAAAGAAACAATTGTATTAACATGAAAGAAAACAAGTACAATAGCACTGGACAAGCAGTTCTCTGACTCAACAAAAGTGTTTAGCACCCAGCTATCTGCTCAAACCAAGATAGCAAATACATAACACAGATGTAGCGACATCCCTCCTCAACACATTTTCCATTCCAAAAAAAGGGTCAAAATGCAGCAGCTCCATAACATTTTCGCCTTTTCCCTTCGACAAAATGGCACAATATCTATCGTTACATGAAGTACACATGAATTTGGAATCACCCAACTCAACCTTGCCTCCCTAAATAATTTTTGCCATAATCGAGTGAACAACGGCCCAAACAACTATGCGTTCATCAACTTATAAATATTCTTCTGCTAACCTCTACCCTATTGAAAATGCTCAAATGCTGCTCTTGTAAGGATTTCATTCACTCAAGTTCTTCATTAAGAAATTGAAGTGATTACTACAGAGTTTGAAGCAAGACAACCATTGCTATCAACATCAACATTATTGCAACAATTATTGTGCACAACAAAACTCTATTTTTGGATTGACTGTCACTTTCTTATTTAAAGAGATTCAGTATTTTCATCAGTAAAATTAAGTTGTAACTTGTTACTGTTGGATTTAGAAATACGAACAGCAGAAGCATAAAATCATGTTCCATGTGTACGCCGGAGTTTTATGTGAATTCAACATAAAAGGCAAACTAATAAAGTAGCCTTGGAGATGTGTAGCCCGAAGGCTACACAGAGCTCCTACACATACTTGATAAAACTCTTCTTAGATAACTTCTCTTCTATAATTGCATACTTTGATACAAACAAACAAGTATTAATAGGAGTCACTTAGTAATGATTAGATAACGCTACATTAACTCCTATGAACCTTTCATATTCATAACTCATCCAATAATTATATATTCATGAACTCGCATTAATCTCCTAGATTAATCATAGATAGATTCTCTCTAAGATACTAACCGTAATTCATTAACTCCTAACTTTGTGATTAATGCCAACAGTTAAATATGGGTTAGCTTGATTGTACTTAACATAATGACTTCAAAGTTTTAGAGAACCGAAAGATGTCAAATGAATTATAATATCTCATGGCAAAAAAAAAAAAATTTATAATATCTCATGACCTTAAGGAACTCTGATGAAACTAAATGCAGTTCTGATTCTAAAAATCCGTACTATTTCAGCATAATATTTCTTTTAATGAATCAAAAGATCATATAATATTGTAAGCATTTGCTTAATTTATCTCATATAATTTCCGAATTTGTTTTAATTTAATCCTGTAATATGTGTCTCATAGAGGCCTTAATTTATTGAATAATTGTTTTTCAATATTTCATGATCTATTATTCACAATCATCTATAGTTGTTTCAACTATGTCCGCCGGACTAGAAGAATCAAAATGTATAGAAATTTGTATGCCCTAAAAGGATACCTAAATAAAAGGGGAAAATAATAAAAGGAGTTCAATTGGAGTTAAGAAGGGAGCAGGAGGGTGCACCTTATCCATGTTGGGCACAAGGTCTTGAAGCTTCCTTATGCGGTCACTGATTCGAGTCCTCCGGACCTATAATAATTAACCCAGCAAGCAACTAAACAACTTAGAAAATAACAAACATCAAATATGTTGAACTGGGCTATGAATTTTGATTGAAATTTTTTTTCTTTCTTTTGGGGTCAATTTAAGTTAGGAACCAAACCCTTTCAGCAATGCTCCTAGGATGCGTAGCACAACCACGCTTGGCCCTAACCCTGCAAGGCACTGCATCCTCCAATCCACCTTCCTCCAATTTCTACCAAGAAAATGCAAAACCAAATATTAATTAAATCAACCAAGTTAATGAATTATTAACAAAATTAATATATATTTTTAAAACTTTTAAATTAAAAAAACCCAAGATTTAGAGAAAACTCACCACCTCCCGAACCCTCTTGTTAGCAGAAGGAGAAGAGCTATTTGGGGACAAGGACACAAAGTCGAGGTGCGCCGGAATTCCAAACCCCGAGAAATACCCTTCCGACCCGTCGTTCGAACTCCCCAGAAACTCCGCCGGAGAGCTGTTCTGTCGGCTAAGAAATCCAGCAGCGGCGGCAGCTTCATACGACACTGGATCCACTGTCGTAGAACCAAACCCTACTGATGTGGCTCCTGTGTTTTCAGCAAGAAGCTCAGTTAAGCACTGGGTGGGCTACAATGGGTCTTCTTCTTCCTCCTCAAGCAGTGCCTCTAACCATGTCGCCGGCGCCGAGCAGAACCGGCCGAGCCCGCCTCCCCGACTCACTTCTCCGCCGCCACTGCTGCTTCCGCCAGCTGCCCGTTGCATCTGCTTTGGCTAGCTTTCAACTCAAACTATTCACCACTATATATATATATATATAGTGCATATATATATAATATTTATCAGTTAATATTATAATACCCTAACTTGTGCTAGCTACCAAGTAACTTTTTTTTTTCTTTTTGGGTTTTTGTCTCTTCTGCTGCTGCTGCTCAGGGTTTTTGCAAGCTTCAATATTTTGGAGAAAGAGAGGTGAGAGGAAAAAGACGGAGACAGAAGGACAAATCTTCTTCTTCTTCTTCTTTTTCTGCTCAAGCTGCAAAATTTTGGAGAGAGGGAGAAGTGAGAGGAAAAAGAGAGAGAGAGAGAGAGAGCGACACTGCTCGAAGGACAGATAAAAATCAGAATTATTAACTTTTTTTCTTTTTTTCTGTTCTGTTTTGTTTTGCTTATTTTGGTTCACTTGCCTGAGCAATGTTGCGCCAAATAAAGAAAGGAAAGCAGAAGTGATTGATTGATTGCTTCCCTGTTCGTGTGCTTTCGAGGTGTAGCTCTCGCTTCATTCTGGACCGTCGGATGGGCAGAAAATCGTTGCTATCGGAGAAGTCAACGCTGATTGGGTAACGAAGACGTACGCGTTACGTGAAGAGTAGCATGTAAGGTCGCGAGATCGCGGTGCGTGGAAGGCTGGAGAGCCGCAACGTCATCGTTTTGTGGACAGGTAACGGCGTCTTCAATGTGACGATGGGTCTCAAGACCCAGACGAAGTGTGGCGCGTGGATACACGTGTGGATGAAAATGGAGGCAGGGGGTTGCCCTTGGCGCGTGGAGATATAAGTTTGCTTATTTATTGGATATGGTAGATTTTTTGGGAGCTGTGGTTGGAGTTTGTGTATTTTTGGGTTTGCTTTTTCTGGCAAATTTAAGGAGAGGAGACAGCAGTGGTTCGCAATGAGAAAGGTGTGGGCTTTTGTCCTCTTTTTTTCTCTTCTCTTTTTTTTTTTTTTTTTTTTTCAAGAAAGGTGTTTTGGCTTTGGACATGGATTTTTTAGTCTTTTAATTGTTTTTTCTTCTCTCAAGGAACCAGAGTGTGGGACCCAACTAGGGTTGAGTCGAATCCAAGGGATTGGAATGTGTTTGTATCGACTCCATTTGAGGACAAATGGGGATAGCACTCGACTAATAACGCTGTGATGAGTGTGATAATACTCTTAAGTGGTATAAAAAGGAAAAAAAGACAAGAAATAATATTTTTCCACCCTTTTAATGTTGTGTAAAATATGCACAAAGTATTTGTAAATAGTACTTCTAATTTATATGTAAGCTGTAAATCTTATTCAATCTCTCATTATCTAAGCTTATAAATAGCTAGCTCTACTAAAGATGAAATGAATAAGTTTCATTATGAAGCTTTTTCTTTAGCAAGCCACTTCTCTCGACAATTTTCCCCTTTAGTTTTATAGCACATTATAGACACGAATTTTTAACCAGTTGAAGTTCTTGTGCTTTTCTACATTCCAAGTTACAATATAGGGATACTGTAAGGTGCTTGCTATTTCTTTAATTAATTCAAATTGTATTCCCGTTCGATATCTTACAACACGTTGCTAAGTATTCCATTTCATAAGCATACATAAGTATTTTTAGGGGGCTCGCAACACTAAGTTTTTTACACAGTTTTTACACCTTTGGATTAGCCCATTATTAAAGGATGAGATTAAGTCTGACATGACAAGTAGTTTTAATTTTTTTAATAAATAATCATTAATTTTATTTTCTTTCTCATAAAAGTAAAAAATAAATAAAATTATCTATCCTTCCTTTTTGTCATGGGAACATAATCCCAACTGCGTCTTTAATATCAAATATTTTTTAAGGTGTAATAAATAAAGAGTCTTCCCCTTCTTCACACACATGGCGTATGTAGCCATCAAATCAAACCATCTTCGGTAGTTCTTTTACCCTCCATTTGGATGAAGTAATTGAAAATAGCATAGAATTTTTAAATAAAGGAATTTTAGATATTCGAGATTTAAATTTATGGCAATAAATATTTTTAATGTTTGGATTTATGTCTGTCGAATTTTTTAAATGACAAAAATTAAAGTGAAAATGAATTCATGCTCAATAGAAATTGTGAAATGACAACTATTTTGGTGGAAATTAAACTCAGGAATCTCGATCCCAAATTTCCACGATTTTTCCCTCGCGTCATTTTATAAGTTCCATATTTAAGTTGCCAAACAATGAAAATATCAATTTCTTCACTTCAATTCCATACTTTTAGCTAAATCTCGAGTAATTTTCCTCCATCTAAACGGAAGGTTATGTCAAAGCAATTTATAAATAGTCAAATATTCAATACAAGCTAATCCTCTGTTGAACTGAGGTTCACATAAAATACATGCTTACTTGGTCTAGTCAAATCTAGTAACTAATTTAAATAAAAGCATCTCAAATTATAGGTCTTAATTTATATGTTGAATTAGAACAATGCTAATAACCTAACGTTTTCCACTAACTTTCTTTTCTCAACTTAGATGTTATTCTCACATTAGAGTATACAAAAGTGTATTTATTTTCTTAACACAATAATGTAGCATGCATATTTTATGCATCAAGCAAATATGTGGGAAAGAAGTTCCGACATAGACAACGTTACCCTAAGAACATCTACAATCATGCTCTCTATTCTTTAGTTCAAATTTAGCTAAAAACACACAAAAGCTATTTTAGGAGCTCTCCATAAAATTTCAACTTCAATCATACTCTCTAATTTAGAGAGTCATAAATGCTATAATTTTTATTTTTATTTTTCTATTCTATATAAATGGTCAATCTCTATAAAAATTAATATAAAAATAGTTAGCATTGATTAAATGATTAATATATACATAAAACAAAGAAGTATTAAATTATAAGGAGCCAGAATAAGTCCTTTCTCTCTCATCATATTTAGGAGCATGGTTGGAATTGTATTTTTTCAGTTCACACCTAAAATTTGTCTAAAGAGGTGGTTCACAGAGCCCATTGTAGATGCTCCAAGTTACCTATATAGGTATGTTAAAATTTGTTAAAATCCAATAGGTATATGTTCCATGAGTTGTCGTCGTATTTGATGTCTGTTGTTTACCTCTGTTTATTTGCAAATGAATATGTAAGGTAGCCCTTGATCATGGTTTGTTTATGTTTTTTGTGCCTCAGCAGTTGATTATGCATTGCACTTTGCATCTTGTAAGCCTATTTCCATTCAAACCAACCAGTGGTTGGTGCATCTACATTGCGCTCCCACGTCTGGTATCTGTAAACTAAACACTGATGGTTGTAGAAAAACTGATACTAATTATATTGGAGATGGTGGTTTATTAAGAAATTTTGCATTGGCTCAAGGGGTTCTCTATGAACCTAGGTGTTGGTTCCATCCATAACACTGAATGATGAGGCATTTTTTGGGGCCTCAACTTGACTTGGGATGTTGATTAGATAGTTGTGGGGTTAATTGTGATGCCAGTTCCGTTGTTGATCTTTTAACCAGTCCTACTGTTCATACTCACCCCCTCTCTCTTTAGCCTTATAAATCGTTGCAAATTAAAGTTTCAAGAAGTATGGGGTTTCTCGATTACACATGTGTATCGTGAACAAAATTGTGATGCAAATGCTTTGGCTAACAAGAGTTACAAACTTGCTCTTGGTTTTCATATTTTTGATTCACCATTATGATGTTCTTGATGTTGATGCTAGAAGTGCGACCATACCCAGGTTGATCTTGTGTAGTCTTTTGTATTTGTGATTTAACCCACTTTTTTGCCCAATTTTTTTTTTTAAATTCCAATATATGTATATAAAAAAAAAAAAACTTGCAGAAATCGACCAACAAAAAGGGCATGCAAAAAAAAAAACACATAACACAAATGAAATAAGAAAGAGTTGTGATTTCCTCACTCCTTTTTCTCATATTTTATCCACTTACACTCCTTTTTTATAACTAAAAAATGAGTGTAAGTGGATAAAATAGGAATGAGAAAATCATTGTCCATAAGAAATAGTTATTTACCAATATCCATAGCTTTTGACATGAAGAAGTCTCATTTTCTCATAATATTGCATACTCCAATAAAGTTGCACATGAGCCTATGTATTAGGGTTTGTTTGTGATCCCATGAAAGAAAAAAAAAGTATAGGGAAAAAATTTGGAGTTAACAACACTAACGTTGCATGTACCAAAACCTTCTCTCTTTAATAGCTCTTAGTGACAGGACCCGACCCAAATTCCACTTCGGAATCCGAGCCGAACCCTGTTCATGATCGACACCTAATGGGTGCCGAGCACAATTGACCTGGTTGCCCTTCTGGTTAAAAACTTAACTTCAATTTAGCCTTGACTTCTACCGAAAATTCGGCAGAGTTTCCCTTATAAATCGAACATTCCCAAAATTTACACCTATCAACAAGCACTTAAATATATACACCAACTACCAGTATACATAAATAAGTACGTTCCAATAGTTAATTACGTCCTAGGGCAACATCAGAGCAACTATACCGAATAATTTACAAAGAGAGGAACAACTTGTGAATCAAGAACCCTACAACAAACTGAAGAAGAGCGGGAAGCGAAAACTACCCTGTGGTGGCTCTCAAATGCACGTCTACTGCCTGGGGGCGCAAAACATTAAAAAGGTGAGGGAACCCAAAAACAAAGTTCAGAAAATACATAGGAACATACGAACGCCGCTGTAAAAAAACAGTTTTGCAAAACTAAATCATTCTTTTCATTATATTCGTACTGAAATCAAAGCACTCACATATATTTATAAATATATGCCAATCATACTCATGGTCATCTTTTAAATTCTTAAAAGCACTGAAATCAGTTTAAAACTACCACCTAGGTGTACCCCTTTATTTCCGTCAATTCCTGATATGTCGTCAATTCCGCGTTATCACCATTGGTGACACGTCCTCGCAGGTCTCGATGACACAAAGTCAATCCGAGCCGCAACCTTGCAGGATTCAGGGGGCCTTGGTCAGCCTGATCCACATCCTCGCTCCACACACCATAGAACTCGTGGGGCAACTGTCAAGCATGCTGACTAAACCGAAGGCAACCAATAAAATCTGAAGGTGACATATTTGCCGAAGGCAACCTGGATGTCCATGGACATCGTCATATCCGAAAGCAACATATTAATCTCTGGGTACCTAAGGTGGCTTAAGAAAATATAAAATTCCTAAAATATCTGATACATAACTGAATTTCTGTTAAATCTAGAACTCTGCTGCCATTTATATGATATTTAGCTAAAATCTCCTTTTCCTATATCCATAAAGGATATGTCACTCAACAGCATATAAACCAAAATATTTAAAAGCACATATCAACTTATAAAACACTAATCTTTGAATAAAACTTATTTAAGATCAAATACTGTAACTGAATTGCTTAAAATCATTTATGAAAACAAAGAGTCCACTCACTGCTGGTCCGAGCTTGCTGGGCCTTTTGAAGGTCCCTCCTGCGGGTCAACTGGTGCTCGGGTGCCTGATTCAAATACCATAATATTATATTAATAAATCTGCTCGGTATAATAATAAATTAAAAACCCTGACCCCCGGCTCCTAGAAGTGCGTGCATCACATTAAGGCTATTCCTATGCCCACATTAACGTCTCTTTGAACCTAGGACACATGTCCCATGAGTCTGGTCTCGATCGGACGGTTGGATTGGTCACAATCGCACGATCAACGGTTCCTAAAGCCTTAACCCTAGGGTTCGCGATTTCGGAGTATCCAGGACTCCAATTCACAAACCGTCGAACCCTAAACGATCCTGGCAATGTCTAGATTAACATATCTGAAAATGATTACGATCCAACGGTTGGAAACTATTGAACCCGGAAATCACACAAGATGCGAGATCCGTTCGGGGTTCAAACGTTATCCAAATTGAGATCCGCGAATTCCTACGCGTTTGTGACAACACAAGGATCATTCTAGGACTGAATGTGGTCCCCACCAAACTGCCCACGCGCCGCCACACGCGCCGGCAGCGCGTGGGTGGGTTGATAAATTCCTGGCGGCCGGAAAAACTCCAAACCGCCTGCCCAAACTCCTAACTTAGGTAAAACACCCAACTTGGGACCACTTTTGTTCTTGGACCTACCCCAAAAACTGGCCGGAAGTGGCCGGAATTGTGATAAATTCCTGGCGGCCGGAAAAACTCCAAACCGCCTGCCCAAACTCCTAACTTAGGTAAAACACCCAACTTGGGACCACTTTTGTTCTTGGACCTACCCCAAAAACTGGCCGGAAGTGGCCGGAATTGCACTCTCAAAACCGGCTGAACCCTAAATCGAAAATCGAACGATCTACGCTTGAAATTTCTGGAATCCTACCCAACCAGCAGCTAAAGCATGGGAAATAGCTAGAAAACCATACCTCACTCGTCCGATTTGGTGGCCGGATGACGGAGATCAACGGCCGTGAAATTTCGAACGAAAACTGACAGTTTTCGTGGTTTTCCGGCGGAATCAGGACGGCAGCAGGCGTCGGGGTGGGCTGAGGTTGACGGCGGAAGCTGGCCGGCGCAATCGGGTCCGGTCCCGCGGGTTGTGACGGCGACTGGGTGGCTATGGAGGTTTGGCTGGGGGAGGACGCACGGAAGGGAGCTGCGGGGAGAGAGAAGAGAGACTGGGGGAGAAGGGAGAGAGAATTGTGGTTTAAAAATTCTGACTTTCCAAAATTACCATTTTGCCCCTTGAAGTATTTTGACCGTATTTTCTTCGTTCAAACTCCGTTTCGAGCCCACTACGTGTCTACGGACTCGTTTCGTCGCGCTCTACGCAACGGTGAAAGTGAAATTGCCAAATTCTTCTCCGGTCAAAAAGTCAACTTTTCTTTAATAACTTAGTCCAAGGGCAAAATTGTCCTTTCTTCTTAATAGTTTAATAGTTAAATATTAATTAAGGTTTGAGTTATTACACTTAGGACATTTGGTGTTCTGTGATTAGTTTGTACAACCACCTAACATTTTCGCTTGGTAATATGTTAGTATTGTATAATTTCGAGCTTTTCGACAATGATTACGGTAGTTTGGCTGCAATTTTAGTCGATTCAGGTATGCTTCTTCATCCACTTCTCATGCTCAAACTGATGATATGGGTGGCTAGTGTCGATTGTGGGTTTTGCCATCAAAATTTGTAAGAAAATTATTCTTAGTGAGCTTAATCTTTTGGTATAGGCCTATCTCGATGAGGTTAAATTTTTTTTTTTCCAATTGTTAGTAAATGCCCCTGAACCACCATTGTTTGCGACGACCCACTTTGACCTATAATTATCCCCTAGTTGTTCCAAGCACAATGATATGCTCAAATTGGCGAGATTCCATTGTTTGATCGACGAACGGAGTTTCGCCTATTAGGTGTTTGTAAGGTTTGATATGATTCGACCATTGGATGGATTCTATTTTTGGGTATGTCATTACTCGTATCGCCAGGAGCATGTATGAACTTCCGGATCTAGGATCAAAGTTTTGGATATTTCATATTGACGATTATTGGGTTAAGTTTGTCGATCATGGTCCAATCGTGCGATCGACGATTATTTGACCGTTGGATCGTGACCAAACTTGTTGGACATAGTGTGTAGACTATGGTTGACCTTTAGGAACTTCCGAATTGGAAATCAAAGGTCATATGCCCCTCGAGCCCATTTGAACTAGATGGTAGGTCCTACTGACTTGGTTGAGACTAAATGGTTAGAGTGTGTTTGTAAGTAGACCTTTGTTTTCTAAAGGTTTTTAACAATTGAAATGCTTTTGAGCTTATCACTTGTGATGTTATTCAGATGCATGGGTTTATATCAAGGGCATGGATTTGATTATTTTATTCATGATTAAACTGGATTTTGATTTGAATCTCGTAGAAATGTTTTTGGAATGTTTTATAAGGTTTATTTATGATTGTTATTCGATTTATATGTTTTTAACTGAGGTTTCGAGGCATGTTTGCTTATTTTTATGATTATCGGACTTGTATTAGTTATCTTTATTGCGAAACGCTTGGGGTTTCAAGTTATTGAATCTTTACTTGGTTTTCTGGCTCGAGGTGTAGTTTGGTTCCATATTGTGGGTATTTGAGTTTGAATTTGAGTTTGTGAATGGTTTAAGTAGCCTGGATTTACATGAGTACAGTTGGATGAGATTTGAGGAAATGGTTTTATGATAAGATTTTGAAAAGTTAAGTTTACAGATATGGGAATGGCTTGAGTAGACTGGTTTTATATAAGATTGGATTGGTGTTAAAATTTTGGGTAATAGTTTTCAAACCCATCATAAGTACTTTTTCGCTAGTGGTATTCAGACAGGGTTATCTTGCTCAGTTATCTTCGGATTAATCTAAGCACATATGACATGCCTTCACATGCTTCGGGGATGCTAGACATGTGTGGTTGACAGGATATGTCTGCGTCGATATCACAGCGTTCTTTATGTGTGGTTGTGAGGATTTGCTTCACATGATTATATGTTTTGCATGTGTAGTACTAGGATTTGTCTCACATGCTGATATGTCTAGAATGTGTAGTGCCAGGATATTGCATGCCTATTCATTTTGTCTACATAGGTGTATGACTAATTGGCTTCAGATATTGAGTTGCTTACAGATATAGTTATATTACTTGGTTGCCTTTAATTTAGTCTACGAGCGTATGACATGCTCACACGTGTTTCGAGGACACTTGACTCGTGTGGTTTCCTGCACGTATTATGTACAAGTCCGGTTGCCAGGATGTGCCCACCCACACAAACATCTGGGGGTTCTTCTTGTGCGGTAGCTAGTAATTGCTTGCACGTGCTGATTTGTTCTTCACGGGTGGTGCTAGGATAGTTTCCGCCACCCAGTTCATTTTGTTTGCCAAGGTTGACCAATTTTCTTGAGTACTTATTGGTGAGGGTTTTTTACGCATTTTCATATTTGTGAGACAATGGATTTGAATTTTCTAAGTTTTAAGGATTTTATACGAATCACAATTGTTGTCTTAAGACATGAGTATGTTCTTACTTGTGGAGTATTGAAGCAGGTTGGATTTAACCCATTTATATCGATATAAGGGTTTTCTCGTGGCCAATGTTTTTTTATACTAATTTTCTAGATTTCCAGGTAATGATTTAATTTCTTTATACATATGTAATGGTTTGATGATTGTTTTGTAATCAATGTCGTTGTTTAAGTTTCAGCTGATTTTATACAATTTAGTTTTAGAAAAATGTGTAGGAATTTTCAATTCTTACAGGTATAACTTGAATTTTCATCACTTATAGGATTTAAGATGTTTCAATTTATTATATCAAGAACTACGTGTGGGTTGATCCCGTGAGAATAGTACGTAGGCAATCTAAGTACAACCGCAAGGTTAAAACACTTTACATTATGGTTTATTTTATCATAAACGGTTAATATGCTTTTATTTAGTCTAAGACTTACTTCGGGATTGTTTATTGCGTGTTAAGTTATGAAGCTTGCAAATAAATTGGTTATAATAGTGAAAAATGGGGCTTGATGCCATTAGTAATGTTGTTAGATTGTGTCTGACTTATTATGTGCATACTAAAAATTTAGGAATGCTCTGGATTGTTTTTCTACAAGTATTAAAATTGGGAATTACTGCAATTACAAGGAAGACTATGCCAAATTTTCGGCAAGAGTCCAACCCTTTGGTTGTTTTAAAATGAGGGTGAAATTGCAGGCGTGACATTTAACAAGTGTCGATCAGGCACATGGTTCGTCATGGATTCCAAGAGAGAATTTGGGGCGGTCCTGTCATGCACTCTTCCTTGAAACACTACCAAAAAGCCCTCACATGGGCCACACTTTGTGAAATCAGAGCAGTTGAGGCCCATCAGTCCAAATAGATTTTAGGCTTTTTATCACAAATGGTCCTTAAGGTTTGCAAAATTATCACCTTCCGTCCCTAAGATTTTTTTGTGACACTAATAATCAGGTTACCGTCCACACATCAAAATAGTCTCTCATGTTAGCTTCCATCAAATTTTTTGTTAAATTAATGACGTGACACATATATGGAATCCACATAACTTTAAGAGTGGTGATTTCCCCACTCCTTTTTCTCATATTTTATCCACTTACACTCCTTTTTTATAACTAAAAAAGGAGTGTAAGTGGATAAAATAGGAGTGGGGAAATCATTGCCCAACTTTAAATATATTATATATTTATTTAAAATCACGTGACTTTATTGAATGTGTTGGCTCCATATATATGTCACGAGAGAGACCATTTTGATGTGTGAAACAACATTAAGGATCAGTAGTGTCACAGATAATTTTCCAAACCACAACTACCATTTGTGATAAAAAGCCCAGATTTTAATCTACAAGGGCGAAAGTGAAAGTAAAAATCTACAAGCACGAAAGTGAAAATTTACAGAGACGATCGATTCAATTAGGCCTAAAAAGAACTCTCAACCTGCACACAGTCTTTATTATTCTACTCTTTGGTTGTCTCGCAAACGGCAAATCCAAATCCTAGGGAACTCCATTCGAAGCGTAGAAACTTGTTCAAGCAGTCTTCGCTGGTGCAGCTATGGCGACTATGGTGAGCTCGGCCTGTGGGCTCCTAGCCATGCTGAACGAGGCCCATCCCTTGCTCAAGCTCCACGCTTTATCCAACCTCAACAACTTGGTCGACAACTTTTGGCCCGAGATCTCCGCCAGCGTACCCGTCATGTACACATTATCTCCCACCCACTCTTTTTTTTTTTTTTTTTGGCTGAATGCTTGTGTATAGGGTTCATGTTTTTGTTGATCTTAGAAGAATTCTTTTGATTTTTCGTGTGTATTTTGGAGTATTTAGTAGTTAAAGAATGTGTGAGCTGGGATTTTTTTATTATTTATTATTTATAATTATTTAATTTTGTTGGAATGAAAACAAGGTTTCAATTCTTAGTTCCAGGTAAGAAGATTAGGATTTTTTTAAATACCAACGAGATTGGATTTATGTGTTTGATATTTGCAATCGTTTTCTGTGTTGGTGGAAGTGAGGGGTGTGTAGGTTGTAATAATTGATCATGTGGTGGCTAAGTTGATGATGTTATATGAAGCTATATAAGAAAGCGGATGATGGGATTTATACATATCTTCAATTCTTCAGTGGGCAGTTAAATTGTATTTTGTAGACAGTGTTGAGAAATAAGAATATGGATTCATAATACAACATACAGGAGAAATGCAACTGAGTTTTCCTTTTAAGTTTTTCTGCTTTATTTCCTAATATTGACCTTTACTTTAGAGGAAGAAGGTTACTTGGGATGGTATTAACTGGGATATAAGTTCTCGAAGCTTTGCATGGGAAGCTACTTTAGGATTGACGATGCTACTTGGTTCTAGGTGCCAATGTCCAGTGCACCTGGCAGTGTCTTCCTCGTATGCTTTCTCCCTCTGGATTCTTGATCAGTGAAGACCTCCTTAAAAATGTTTTGAGCTATTGGTATATATGCTTGGAATAATCAGACTAGGTTCACAAGATCCATTAATAGTAGTATAAGAGCCTACTAATAATTCAGTGAATTTTACTCGAGTTATTTTTTTTTTTGAAACCGTGTGTGATCTCCTTATGAATTTACGACAAGGGCTATATAACAAAAATGATTCTCTACAGTGCTACTTGCATTCTGTATGACTTAGGTTGTTCATCTGGTATCTGATCTCTAATTTAATGGAGTTTGAAGATGTGATTTTCTGGTTTTTGGTTGTGCAGGTGGTTTTAAGGAGATCTATTAAGATTAGTGAAGTCCATGGACTTTAAAGACTGTTGATTTTTTGTTTTGATGTCAGTGATAGGAAAGATCAGATTGTTTTTCTATCCTGGTAACTATAGTTCAGGTCATGTTTGTTTTGGATGTAAGATATGTTTTATTTGAATGAGATTATTAGATGTTGATTTTTGTGCTTTAGACTGTTGAAAGAAAGAGGGAAAGTGGCTCTTTCAAATTCGGATAAAAGCTGATGGTTTTTTATTTTTGTATTTTATGGTGGGAGTGGCGTAGCGTGATTCAAGCAGACTTCACTGTTCTGTTATTGTTTAATCATGCTGAAATACACCTAATAGATTAATCAACTACTTTGTATTTTGTGTGTTGCGATTATGCCTTTCCAAGGATTCGATTTGGACCAGGTTGACCTACATCCTGATCACACATTTTGATATGATAACCTGAGCTTAAAATAAGAAATCTGATATGTATATGTTTTGACCTACATCCAGATTCATGATCAGTGAAGACCTTCAGATATCTTATTTTATGCGATATCCAATCGGACAAATTTTTATTTGGTTATTAAGGAGCTTAACATTTTCTTCTTCTTTCTGATTAAAAAAATCTTCTCCATTACAAAATAAAATTTAAAAAGTTCACCTGTTTGCACAGCAAAATATCTCTTGTAGAGAGTTACACGATTTATGTTATAACTATCCAATAAGGAGCTATACATGGTTTCTTATATGGCTTAGTTTCTTGACTACTATATTTTTTGACCTCGGATAATTGATAATTAAATAACAAACGATGCATAAATAAACTTATTAGACGAGTAAAATTGTCCATTTTGTAACTATTCTCATAATTTATATTGATTTATTGTTTGTTATCAAGTTTTAGCTTATGTATAAATAAGTGAATAGTTTAAGGGTTCTTTTAATGTTTTTAAAAAAGTTTCTTTACTAGTAAAGGCCTAATTTACGGAAATACACCTAACATTTCTTTTGCAACAAATAAGGGCCTCTGACAGTTACTGCGGTTGTTACTGATTAATTAAATTTTATTTGGATCAAAATCCAATCCATTCACAGGGCTAGTTTTCATCACAAATTTGTTACTGATTAGGCTAGTGTGCTTTTAATACCTTTGTTGTGCATACCTCCAAACTATGATATTTTGGATAGATAGTGAAAATAAAAACTTTTGTTGTTGAACTTCTGTATTTATCGATGTTTTTCTGAATATTTATAACGATGTCATATTGTTTCTCAGAGAAAGTTTGTATGAAGATGAAGGGTTTGATCAGCATCAAAGACAACTGGCTGCATTGCTTGTGTCGAAGGTAAAAATCGACTGCGCTGCTGCCTCCCTTTTGAAGTAGTGTGTTAGTTCCCAAGAGGTTTTTTTATCAATCAATTTGGTTGCAAACAAATAAGGTTGGGGAAAATCTATTGACCACCATGGACCCTGTTGGCTGAACTTTCTATGCCTGCACTTTTGCCTTCTAATAGCCCAGAAATTACTGGAATATATTAATGTCCTCATAATACAAAGTCTTTGCATGTGTGTCTCTGTCATTTGTGGGTTTCAGTTCCCTATCTTCTTCTGGAATATGTTAATTTAACTACTTTGTTCTTTTTGTTTACATGTTCTTTTTCCTTACCCCAGGTTTTCTATTATTTGGGTGAACTTAATGACTCACTTTCCTATGCCCTTGGAGCTGGTTCCTTATTTGATGTGTCAGAGGATTCTGATTATGTCCATACTCTTCTAGGTAAGGATATTTTTGTTAGCATGATTACTCTTAGGTGCTAAAACTTACAACTTCACTTTGTAAATGATGACTGTGATTAGTGGGATCTTGGATGTACTTTGAGGGGTAGAAAACATTGAAAGGACAATGCTAGTAGGTTTAAGATATCTCAATATGGATAATCAACTTTCCTTCATGGCCAAGTCATCTCTGATTTAGTACTGTTAGAAGTGGATTAGATGCATTGAACTTTGAGGATGTATTACAACACTTTATTTACATGACATATTTGTTGTTTGCTCCTCTCTTCAGCTAAAGCTATAGATGAGTATGCCAGTCTTAAGTCTAAGGCAGCAGAATCATGTACTGAAGCAGTAAATGTGGATCCTAGATTGGAGGCAGCTAAAGGTATAATTGAGTATCCCCGTCTTAAGTCTAAGGCAGCAGAATCAAGTACTGAAGCAGCAAATGTGGATCCTAGATTGGTGGCAATTGTAGAGAGAATGCTGAATAAGTATGCAGGCTTCTAATGTTTTTAAATGCAATACTTCTGTACCTTTGGTTTTCTGACCACTTTTTCCCTTTTAGGTGTATCATGGATGGAAAATATCACCAAGCTATGGGGATTGCAATTGAATGCCGAAGATTGGATATACTTGAGGAAGCAATCATAAAAAGTGATAATGTTCAAGGAACTCTGTCATATTGCATAAATGTTTCGCATTCCTTTGTTAATCTTAGAGAATATAGGCGTGAGGTAAGGCTTTACTCATTCATAGATGATATATTATTGGCTTTTGTGTTTCAGATATATGTGATTTTTTTTCTGATAAGATGAATACATGTGACTTTGTATCTCTTTTTCTCCTTTAACCTTTTTTTTTTTTTTGGGGTAAGATATGGTATTTCTGCTCCTGCATGGTCTATGGCCAACAAACAATGATATAGAAGCCTTTTCCTTTTGTTGGTTCTTGAGGCTATATTGTATAACATGGTAGATTTATCTATAAGTACGGTGAAAATAGGCCAAAAATACAGATATGAAAAGCCTGGAAAATTTGGTATGTAAAGACATACTTAGTTTTAAATATATATATATATATATATATATCTGATTTTAATTACATTTTATTTTAAACATGTACTTCGTATAAAATAACTAATAAAAGCAATAATCGTGGTACGACTGAGAGGACTTGAAGGTTGAAAGCTAATAAGTTTTAGTAAAAAAAGAACATATGATATGCATATAGCAAAGGTAGGCACAGTGGATGGTACAATACATTGCGTGGCTCCAACGTATTCTTTTATTTTCATGATGTACGTTAGATTTCTGTTTCATATTAATTTCATATTTGATAGCATGTTATGCTTAAAGACCAATCTTCTGTATTTTCTAGTCGTTCGAGTATCGCGGATTGATCTGGATTCCCTTGTGCTTCCTTATGTTGTTCATATGCCTTTGCTAACCCTCTTATGAATGTGGAGTTAATTAAAATAGGA